TCAATTCCACACCAGGTTTTTGAGTTATAGCTTTTTGGCTCTATAACTTGCTTTTGAAGCAAAGTGAGGAGACAAGTCCCTAAGTGTTGTACAAGCATGGTCTGGTTTGGTAGAGGCTTAAGGAAAATTGCTTTTTGTTGTGGCTTTGCTTGTGTGCAGAGAAAACAAGTGCAAGGCTCAAGGAGTGGAAAATTGTAAAAGTAGTGCTTTATCAAAATGGAAATGGCACCTTTGTGCCAAAAATGGAATTGTTCTTGTACAATGCATTTAATGTTTGGCTAAAAGCTTACAACATCTGTGAAAACATTTAATTAAGGAGTAAAATTCAAGTTAGGAGCCTGCAAAGTAAGATTTGTTCATCATGCTTGAGGATTTGAACTTTTGTCTTCATGAAATGGCTTGAAATCAAAGTGAGAAATTGTCAACTTCATCTCTTTGATTCTCCCTACTCAAGAATGATCTCAATGAGTTCTTGGACATTTTGAAAGCTTGAAATGTGTTATAAAATCCATCTTTTAATTGCTTTCAAAGATTCCCCTTGGAACTATGTGAAAAATTGGCATGAAGTTAGGTCAAAAACCTGCCTAACTAGGGCAAAATTTCACTAAGTTATTTTAGTTCATGAGCATGTATTTACAAAATTATATCTTGAGATCCAAGCATTTTTAGGAGAAATTGTGTGAAGCAAAGTTATAGATTTCATGGAGATCTACAAATTTCATGTTGGAAGTTTCCTTTGAATCATCTTGCATCATGGTGATAATTTGGCTCAAAGTTGAGAAAAAATAAGAAATTTTCTATACTTGGAAAATTTTCTAAGTTAGAATTTTCAACTTTTCAAAACCAAAACTTAAACCCTTGCTTTCTTGATGAAAATTTTTCACATTTTTACATGTTTTGATGAATTATGATCTTTGGCACTTGATTTTGACCAAAAAGTCAAATTTTGACTTTTCAGTATACAGTTGACTTTTGATCAGTTGACTGCAAAATTCATCTGTCAATCCAATGGATTTGCAATGTTTTGAACTATGTAATTAGGTAAAGATGATGAAATTGAACTCTTTAAATAATACTTCAAACCAATTGATCATTTGCTAGGTCAAAAATCAGAAATTGCCCCTTCTCAGTCAAAACCCTAATTTTGACCATTTTGCCCTTTTGATGATTTGATCAAATTTCTTGAGGAATTGTGGTCCAAACTTGATCAAATGATACATATGAGTCTAAGATGTTGATTTGGATAAAAAATTATGAAGTTTTATTATAAATTGGCCATGGTTGGCTTTTTCCCCAATACAGTTGATTTTTGGGTCAACTGTCCAATTGACTGATCAAAAATGTGATTCAAGGCTTGAAACTTGGCATGAGTAATATTGGGGGTCCATAATGATCCTTGAAAGTCATATGAAGCATTTATAGTCCAAAAATCCTTGTGCAAACTCAAACCCTAACTTTGGTCATCAGTGCATGAGGAGGTGTCTTGAGCTGGTCAAACCCTAATCCAGTCTTGAGTCAAAGAGATATTGTGAGGAAATTCTTGATAAGTGAGAGGGAAAATTTTGGGGTACAACACTTCCCCCATACAAAATTCCAGGAGCATACATTTTTATTTTTCCTCATTCGCACGACGAAGTTGTTCACTCGGCCAGCGAGCTCATCTTGCCTCTACTTTGCCCAACGAAGATGTAGCGAGTCCACTTCTCCTATAAAAAAATTCCAGGGCTCTATTTTTCACCCCTTCCCTTTTCATCTTGCTCGCCCGGTGCTGCTTGGGCGAAGCTCCCTTGCCCTGCAAAGAATCAGGCTTTCCTGACGACGCAACACGAATAGGAAATTTCATGTGCATTTTTTGCACTGCACTAGTCCCAATTCCCACACGATTTCACATCCAAACAGACTCGAAGCTCATACAAATCATATATTCTCATCATATGACAATAACACTTATTAATACACATGACATACATTAAATCATGGAATTATTAGTATTCATTATTCACAATTTCATCAAAGATTCATCATACTCATCATGTTATCAATTCATCACAAAACCCCACAAACAACCTACATACATCTAAACTCTATATCAATCATAATAATAAGGATAACCCCCCTTACCTTAGATTATAGCTAGAAATGATATTCCCTTCACGTTTCTACCGAATTCTTCTTAATTCCTCAATTCCATATTTCTGCTCTCTGCCTCTTCTCCAAACGCAATCGTACAGAATAAGCATTCCCATATTACCCTCAGTTATCACCTTACCAATTATTATATTGACCTTATTATTTCTACACCTTACATTATCTAATTTTAATAATTAAAATAATTCTAAATAATTACTCTAATTATCTAAAATTATTTAAAACACCCAATACCACTTAATTTCTACTATACCACACATAGCATCACATCATACTTCATGTTCATCAAACATCACATATATTACAAATACTCATCATAAATTAATTAAATAATTAAATAAATAATCTAATTATTTTTGGGGTGTTACCGACTACATCCAGATGAAGGACGTAATCAAAAGGTTTATCAAGAGAGGTTGTCTATCCAAGTACACTAAAGACAACAACAGGGACCAAGGTGATTCCTCGAAGAGTAAGTCCCTGGCCAAGATAGTTGATATTGTGACAAGACGTAAGGAAGCAAACATCAAAGACGAAGAGGTGCATGAAAGGAAGTGTTTGCACATTGCGGCCATCATATGAGGCGCCTCGCAAGGAATGCTCTGTTTAAAGGAACGATGAAGCAAAAATTGTGGAACTAATGTTCATCAGCAAGAATGGAAGAGGTACTTCAACCAAGGGCCTGAAAATGTTGATGCTCGATTTTCGGGATTGTGAAAAGGACGGGAAATTCTGAACGAAATATTTTCATTGGCCATAATGGCCATGATTGACCACTTTGTTATCTCCTGGATATTGATTGACATTTTCATATCTTGTTATGTGATGTATTGGGAAGTTTTCGAGAAGACGGGCTTGAAGAAAACAACTTGTAGCCCTATAACGGGTCTGATATGCAGACCTTCAATGACAAAACAACCCGCCCCTGAGGATACATTGAGTTAATGAGTACCATTGGGAAAGGAAGAGATGTTAGAACGATTGATTCTCAATTTCTAGTGGTTCCTTGTAAGTGTATTCACAATTGCATCCTCTGGAGACCCTTCCTGGAAACCTTAGATGTTGTAGCATTTGCGGTTCACCTCAAGATCAAGTTTGACAACCTCCACAATGAACTGATCTTGGGAAATTCCGACCTTGCTGAAGCTAAGAGAATCTACTAAGCCTTGCAATAAAGCAATAAGGAATGGGATGCAAAGCCATGGAGATCAATATGACCTCTCTGATCGGCCAGTTAAAAAATATGAATAGTTTACCTCCCACGGGTAAGACAAGACAAGTTACGTCGACCATACAAGCAAAAATGGCTTATTCGAGCATACTACAAGTGGCAATGGCGAATAAGTGGTGGTAAACTCATCTGGTTATTATGTATAATGATCATTTAGGTTAAAGAGATAAGAATGTTCTACTAAAATATCATTTTTCTTTTTTACTATGAAAGATAACCATGAGTCTAGGGTACGACCGAGGAAATCGAAGCTCCACCACAAACACTTAAGGGTATTATCATAAATGTTGTAGGTTTATGACTAAAGCAATCAAATCCCGCTAATGCAAAGCATACACACAAATAAAGTGGCAAAATCATGAATTGTCAATAACCGACTCACCCTCTCTTGATAGCTAGCCACTCTAGAAGCCACAGTGGGTCCACCACACGTCGACCTTAAACCAGATTTTCACCTGGGGGGAGAGAAGGGATATCGACCCTTGGTCGGAAATGGTCTCCCGAAAACATCTAATAAACTTTGATCAAAAACCTCATAAAATAAAAGCTAAACCTCGAAACAACATACTCAAAACCTAAGACATACACCTTAATCATGAAACCACAATACCCCAATATCAAATTCATATATACATATCATCCTCGTGCATATTATCAATTATATACTATTATTTAATTAAAAAAGAACGCTTCAAGATCATCATATAATGAAGTGTCAAGATGACTATCCATTTTTACAAAGAAAATAAACTGGTTGAACAATTCTTCAAGGATCACATCAAGTGTTCTTGCTCAGTGTCATTAATTTACAAGTGTTCTATGAGAATAGCTTTTATACATAGAATTAGACCAAACTATTATACATAGAATTGAATCAAGTTATTATATTGAGTCCAGACCAACCTTACACGTCGGAGACGACATATAATTATAAATATTAATCAAAATATAGTATAACACCTTAATAATAGTCTATGAAATTCATATTTGATTAATAATTTCCTATTCCTATTCTTTTTATTTCTATTAAAATAAATAATAATAAAAAGAAAATGATAATTGAATATAAAAACTTTGATATCAAATACAATATTATTTGATCAACATTTCTGTATTTATAAAATGTACATAAATGTTAGAAAATAAAAATAAGTGAGATAAATTAAAGATAAATATATACTATATCTTATTTTAATGTTTATAGATCGATAACTAAACTCAAAATTTTGAAGTATAAAAAACGATGCAAGCGCCAAAACAGAAAAACAGAAAGTGCAAACTGTTATACGTTCTTTCTCTCTCAGCAATAGCAGCTTCACACACAGTTTCTCTCTTCAATTTCTAGGGTTTGTTTTCTTCATTCCAATCTTATCTCTTATTATTACTATTACAATGTTCTTCATATTCAAAATGCATGTGTATGTTCTTCATCATTTCGCGTTTATTAATCAAAATGTTTGTCATTTCTGTATAATCTTAATTTGAAAATTATCAAACTAAGAAATCATTGGATTCTTTAGGAATTTCTTTAGATTTTTTATATAAATCTTGTCTTCTTGAATGTGAAACAAGATAGAGTCTCTTCATGATCGATACGTTACACCAGTGTAATTGCAAGACTATGGATCGAGCATTGGGTCGAGGAGGATCAGCGGATGCAGTATTTGCCAGGATGGTTAATTCTTATATTAACAACTTGCACCAAATTACCGAGAATTCTTCTTCTAACCAGGTGGATCATCCTGAAAATAATAATAAAGCAGATCCTTTTCTGCAAAACTCATCTTCGAATTCCCAATTATCACAACCAATGATTTCTGAAGCTTGGGAAACTCTGAGGCTCTCCTTGGTGAATTTTCACGGCGTTCCTGTAGGTACAATTGCTGCTTTGGATACTTCTGATGAGAAACTTAATTATGATCAGGTAAAGGGATATTTTAGCAACTTTTCTGAGGGTGTAGTCTGCAAAATTTAATTTAGTCCCTTTTGATTATATATTTGCTTGTGTGTAGGTGTTTGTTAGAGACTTTGTGCCAAGTGCTTTGGCTTTCTTGATGAGCAAGGAACATGACAATATTGTTAAAAACTTTCTGGAAATGACTCTTCTGCTTCAATCGCGGGAGAAATTTATTGATCGGTTTCGTCTATCAGCAGGTGTAATGCCAGCTAGTTTTAAGGTTAAACGTGAGCCAGGAAAGAATAGGGAGTCCATGGATCCTGACTTTGGTGGATGTGCAATAGGGAGGGTTGCTCCTGTTGATTCTGGATTTTGGTGGATTATATTGCTTCGCGCATATACTAAGTCTACAGGAGACAATTCCTTGGCTGATAGTGCTGAGTGTCAAGAGGGTATGCGCTTGATTCTGACTTTATGCCTTTCAGAAGGATTCGACACGTTTCCAACTCTACTATGTGCTGATGGATGCTGCATGATTGATCGTAGAATGGTAAGTACTATTTATGTTGCAAATTTGAGAGCAAAAGAACTATATAACACTGAAACTTCATATGGAAGATATGCTAGTAGCCGTGTCTGTGTCTGTGTCATGTCAGTGGTTCATACTGGCAATGAATGTTTTACACTTTGTGGATTTATATTGTGAAGAGTTTTTTTTACATTCAGTTTTGGCCAACTATTTTCAGGGTCTATATGGTTATCCAATTGAAATTCAAGCACTGTTTTACATGGCTCTGAGGTGTGCATTGCATTTGCTTAAGGAAGATAAGGAGGGGAAAAAGTTCAGGGAACGAATTGTGCGACGCTTGAATGCTTTAAACTTTCATTTGAGAAGCTATTTTTGGTTGGATTTAAAGCAACTCAACGACGTATATCGATACAAAACAGAAGAATACTCACACACAGCAGTAAATAAGTTTAATGTGATGCCTGATTCTCTACCTGATTGGATATTTGATTTCATGCCTCGTCGTGGTGGTTATTTCATTGGCAATGTAAGTCCTGCTAGGATGGATTTCCGTTGGTTTTGTCTTGGTAATTGCATTGCAATTCTGTCATGTTTGGCTACTTCAAAACAATCCAATGCAATCATGGATCTGATAGAATCGCGTTGGGATGCATTAATCGGAGAAATGCCTGCAAAAATATGCTATCCAGCACTTGAAAACCATGAGTGGAGGATCACAACAGGTTGTGACCCCAAAAATACTAGATGGAGTTACCATAATGGAGGGTCTTGGCCAGTTCTTTTATGGCTTCTTACCGCGGCTTCGATCAAGACGGGAAGGCCACATATTGCGAAACGTGCACTTGATATTGCTGAGACCAGATTGTTGAAGGATAATTGGCCTGAATATTACGATGGAAAGCATGGCAGGTACATTGGGAAGCAAGCTAGGAAATGCCAAACTTGGTCTGTTGCTGGATACTTAGTGGCTAGGATGATGCTGGATGATCCATCACATTTGCGTATGGTGACTTTTGATGGAGATAAACTACTAAGGCCTCAACATAGAAGATCAAATTCATGGTGAGACACTGTAAAGAATGTAATCAGTGTAGTTAGTTGATATTATTCAATGCTGTATCTAGTCTCAATCTCATGTTTCAGTTCTACCAGATAGCAAAAGCCACTTTTGGGAAAATTGATTCATGATAATGGGTTCATGAAAATAATTTTGCTTTTTTTTAAAAATTAAATCTAATTCATCCATTAAACATAAAAATCATTTAATTTATCTATTTTTTCGACAAACATCTAATTAATTTTAAAAAGCATATTATAAATAATAATTTCATTTAATAGACAAAATATGTGTTTTTAAAGAATTTAATTAAAATACATTGATATTATAAAGAAATTTTACAACTTAGTATTTAACTTTTACTTTAATCACATATAAAGTACTACTCATAAATGGTTGTGATACATTGACATTGTAAATTTTTTTACACTAACAAAACATATCAATTAATCTCTTTTTTAAATTAAAACATAAAAAGATTTTTTTAAAAAGAACATAAAATATATCAGTTTTTTTATCACAGAATACTTCTTTAAAGAAAATTTTGTTTTTAAATGATTATTATAATGTTTCTGTTTTATATAAATGTGTTTTTTTAATTCTGTTTTTTCTTTCAATAGAAAAATTATGCTATTTTTTTAAACATAATTTAATATAATTTAATCTGTTTTAATTTCAAAAAGAGTTAAAGTGATTCATTAGACTTTTCCTAAAAAAATAAAATTCAATCAATTTTAAAAAAAAATGAGAAGTTGTTTATTACACTTGGTATCTTTTGAAAATGTCCTCACAGTTAGAATTATGCAATTAAGAAGCACTAAACGGAATGAGCTGAGAGAAAAAATTTAACTAGTCTGAATTGTACCGTTTAGATAAAATGTGACATAATTTCTTGAGTAAAATCTAGAGAATTATATTTTCTACATATGTGTTTTTTAAACCCTTTCATTTCTGATCATATAATATACTTTTTTAAACTCTTAAAAAAAATTCTTCCATTCATATTTATTAATTTAATTTGCAAACACATTTTAATTATATCTCAACATAATAAACATCATAATCGCTTGAAGTTGCAAACAACATACATATTTATCATTGATGATCATTTAATAATTTATTTTTTCTTCATCATGAATATTGTATGGAGAGTATTATTTGGATACATCTGTAGTGTATCGTCTGAATTCTTTGAATGAGTGTTTGATTCGTCTTTTTTTTGTTATATGTGTTTTGCACCCTAATATTGTCAACAAAGATAATGCTTCAGTGGATGGTATTTTGGAAGATCTTCAACCACGTGTTGTACATATTCATGTAGGAAAAAAATTTACCACTATACATGAGTTTACTTACGTGAACATATACTTCAATGAGTCTATACGAAAGCTGTCAAATTAGGCTTTAGGATAGTTATCGGGAGGTTCCAATGTCACATTAGAAATGTAAAAGTTTCTACTAGTCTCAACACAAGTTCGATATCTAAAGTACCTTGTAGAAATTCGTGTAGGAATGTCTTTCAGCTACGAATAGGATTTTGTTCTTGGATAGTGTTTGTTCAAGGCATATGACGAGAGACACGTCTATGTTTATTGACTTCGTCAAGAAAGAGCGCAGCTACGTCACATATGGAGACAATAATTAAGATAATATTTAGGTGAATGTATTATGGAAAAACCCTCCAAAATTACCATAAATAGCGTGCTTTTAGTTAAAAGATTTAAACACAACCTCTTAAACATTAGTCAATTATGTGACAGGTGTTGTACCCCAAAATTTGCCCTCTCATATTTCTCAAAACATTTCAAGAAAATTCACAAGTCCAACCCGGCGCGTTATATTCAGGTGTTCTTTCGCCAAGATATCTCTGATAACGTATTCTCAAATTCAGGTTCGGCTCAAGAGTCAATTCTTTAAAGAAGGTATCCGAATGTGCGAGTTTTCTTGAAGAAATATGGTGAAAAAGTGTGCTGAAAGTGCAGTTTTTACGCGCTAAAAAATTCATAACTTAAAGATCGTGGCTCGTTTTGAACCCGTTCCGGTGGCCAAAATTCCGTCTTGACATTATCTACGTTTTCATCTCTCACGGCTGGAAGCCAATTTCGATCAGAAGGTCTTCAAAAATATGGATTTATCAAGTATTTTCGTGCAGAAAATTTGTGACGGAAGTTTATTTGCGTCATGTTCAAAAAATCATAACTTGGTCGATTTTCATCGTATCGAGCTGGTTCTGGCGCCAAAATTTCACAAATTGAGTTGGCCACATTTTCACAGAAGGTATTGAGTTCAAACGGTATTCAAAAGGCCTTCGTTTTTTGCTCAGAGTGCGTGACACGCTGAAAATCCTGAATGCTGAATATTATTTCATCTGGGCCGAAACTTCGAAAATTCATAACTCGGTCAATTTTTATCGGATTGGACTCATATTTTTACACAAGGTCCCTGACTTGTAGATCTACAACTTTGCTTCAAAAGTCGAGACCAAATTATGCACCAATCAATACCAGTTTTTTATTGAAGAACGTGTCAGAGCCGACACTGGAGTCCAAAATAAGTTTGTGTGAGCTGAAACTTCAAAAATTCATAACTAATTCACCGTTTATCTGATTGAGTCGATTTTCGGACAGGAGTTAGTTCTCGATGTCGGCTACATTTTGTTTTCACATTTCAACTTCAAAAAATACACTTAAGTCCCTGCGATTTAGCCTGGAAAGTGACGAATTCAAGTGAATATTGGAGGCCCAATTGCACATTCAAAGCCCATTTTCTTTACCCTAATTTCCACTATATAATCACCTTCTTGTCACACAAAACAGGGAGAAGGGAGAGGAGAAAAAAAGAGAAGAGAAAAAGAGAGAAAAAACCTTGCCACAACACTGTTGGAATATCAAACTCTTTCAAGAACCCTAAAACCTTGAAATCCTTATTACAAATCCCTCTCTCACTACAAACAAAGCCATCTCAGTTACAAACCAACACCTCACTACTTCTCTAGTAAGGATAAGGCTGGCTTGATCTCCATGATCCAAAGGGCATAAAATCATTTATGTCACTACTTTTCCAGTAAGGGTAAGGTTGATTTGATCTCCATGATCAAAAGGGTATAATCATTCATACATGTCATATTGTGTCTAAACATTAAATTTCTTCGTATATTGGCTTTATTTGCATTTTATGATTTTATTTGATGTGTTTGTGAGATTCAACACTGCAGATTTAGACAGGATCCCAGGCAGGTTCATTAAGGAACGTTGAGGCCAAAAGCCAAATGATCAAAAGCCAAAAGCCAAATGGCCAGACTAGAAAAACTTATGCATGACACCAATACATGGCGAGGCAGACATTAAGCCAGAGATTAAGGGAACGTTGAAGCCAGAACACAAATGGCCAAAAGCCAAAAGTCAATTGGCCAAAGTAGAACAACTTATGCATGAAACTCAATCCAATGACCAAAGAATGCAGACCACGGTACTCAGGAGTCAATACTTCAAAAAACCTCCCCTTGGGCCAGACACCCCCTATGGTTTGCTCAATTTTTAATTTTTATTTGTTTTTCCTTTTTATTCTTTTAATTGTTTTTTTAATTGTTTTCTTTTAATTCCATAAAATAATTTTCATAATAAATATAAAATACAAAAAAATCAAAAAAATGTTTATTTTATTAATATTAATTTTACTATTATTATTTTTGTAAATAAACTTTAAACAATTAATTAGATTAATTTAGGTTTCAAAACTTTAATATTTTTCTTAATAAATTAAATATGTAGAAATTAGGTTTTTTTAACTTTTTCATCATTTTTTTTAATAAATAATTCTCTCATCATTATTATTATTATTAATTACTAATTTATTTTGTAAATAAACATGTACATAAATTCTTTAGTAAATTAAGTTAAACTTTAACATTTTTCTCAAATAATTAAAAATAACTTAGAATTAGGGTTTCTTTTAATTTTAATTTTAATTTTCTTATTTCATAAATACAAAAAAAAAACCTAAAAAACACTTCTTTTATTTCAATAAATAATTAATTAATTTTTAATTTCATTTAATTTCTTTAAAGGGTCCAACGCCCTCGAACGTTCTATTTTTATTTCTTTCGCACATTTATTTTCTTTCAAATATTATGTAATTGCTCAAGCCATGTAACTCGGACATTTTATATTTCCTGCATTTTATTTCTTTATTTTATGTCAAATCGGGTCCTGGTTTAATTTGGCGATGTGGACCCGCGCCTTTGTAATAGTTTAGGAATTTTATCTTTCCGCACTTTTTAACTGTTAAATAAATGCATGCAAGAATGAATGACAAAAATAAAAACAAAACGTTAGATCACCAATAACCTGACAAGACAAAAATAAATGAATCTGACACACAAATCACACACCACCCCTAGGGTACGCCTCATTGTTGCCTTGCCTCGAAAGGTGATCGTCGAGTAGAGGATGTCTTAGTAAGTCCTCATGATCCGGGAACCTGGCATGAGGGTAGCTTCTAAGGTGTCTTCCCATTGCTCTGGTGATCACCATGTCCCGAACCTCGAATTGACCCGAACACCTCCAACGGTGGTGCTACCTACCTCTCAATGGTGGGATGGCACTACTTTAAAGGACATTTACACAGACGAATTCCTTAGAGTAGGTAGATTCTCATGGATACTTGCTCTAATTCAAAACAAAACAAATCAAAAATACTTTTCACACTAACACATTTTCAAAAGCTTTCAAAGCAATTTTTCAAACACTCTGATACAAGAGTCGAACTGGAATTTTTAAAGAAACTTTTTTAAAAACCCAAAGTTGAAAAGCAAACAAACAATTTTGAAAACACATTGAGCAAGTATCTAAGAGCCCATGGATAACCATGGATAGAAAGGGTGCTAACACCTTCCCTTTCTATAACCTACCTCCCGAACCGAGAGCAATCTCTATAAGGAATTTTTCTGTGCTTTTGTCCTTTCCATTTGGAGAAAATAAAAGACGGTGGCGACTCTTGCTTCCGCGACA